GCTGTGTCTAGAGGGTAGACCCTCCTTACTGCAGCCTTGTCACCTGTTCCAAGAGCTACACCTATTTCCCTCCTCCTCCTCCTGGGAACGGGTACAAATAGTTACACAGATGGCTCTGTCTGTGGCCCATTGAGCTGTGAATTAATTAGTAGGTGATGGCTCTGGTCCTGATGATTAACCCTGCTCCTCTGGTGGGATAATTCCTGGGGATTTGGCCCTCCCTTTTTGAGGCTCTTTGGAAGTGCTGTGGAATTCTGTCCCCCACGTGATCTGGTTTATCACAAAATTATAAACTAATGCACGCAGTTGGGCAGGATAAAAACTTAGCCAGTTGAATGGGAGATTCACTTTAGAGTACCTCTGTGTTGCTAACCAGTGCCAGTATTTTAAATTAGAATACTTGAAACTGCTCTTGGAATTGATGTGCATTCCAATATGAATTAATGTCTTTGTGGTTATAGATAGTATATGGGTAGCATTTTAGTTCATTTGGATTACTGTTCTTTGACAAGGCAGAATCTATAAATGTTAGTGACGGCAGCAATGAATTACTAAATTAATTCTGTCTTCCCCAAAATGAGTAAATAATGTGGATACCTTTAATGCAGTATCCTATCCCACTGAAAAATTCTAATCCCTAATACCATCTCACACCTCCAGACCCAAACTGTTTCCTGAACTTTAGGGCAGATATTAAGGAACCCTGGTGGTGCAATGGTTAAGTGCTTGGCTACTAACTGACAGATCAGCAGTTCAAACACCCCTGCTGCTCTGCAGGAGAGAAAACATGGCTGTCTCCTTTCATAAAGTGTTCTGCCTAGGAAACCACACGGAGCAGTTCTGCTCTGTCTTATAGGATTGCTGTGAATTGGAATCAAGTCAGTTGTATACAGCAGCAGGGCAGATATGGGCCAGCTGTGTGGGCTCAAAGACTTGGAGGCTGGCAAACGAATTGGATTTGAGCTTCTTCATCTATGGAAGAGTTTACCCTATAGTCCAAGTCTAAAAAGAATCCCCATGGATTCACTATGCTCTGGTAGCATAGTGCCTAAGGCACTTGATTGCTAACCAGAAGGCTGGCGGTTCAAACCCACCAGCCACTCCTCGGAAGGAAGGTTGGGCAATCTACTTCTATAGTGATACTGCCTCGGAAACCCAAGG